TCTCTCTTCTCTCGTAGTCTGCAGATGCAATGAAGTCAGATGTTGAGAGGGGGAGAAGGAGATGGTGGACTGAGAAGAGGAAGAAGAAGAACTCTCTCTCATTGTTACGAGCCAGATACTGACCTGTGGTATTGGCGCTTTGCTGCAGGTACCTCGAAGACGAAGCTGGAGCAACGACGCTGCAGGTAAGTGCCTCTGGCCTCTGCCCAATCTCTCTCTCTCTCTCTAGTACTATATAGCTATGGCGCCCAGCGCTGGAGACTACAGCTACCTACTGCGCCCAGCGCTGAAGACTACAAGCTAACGCTACTACTACTCTGTAGCGCTTCCTCCAGAGTGCTGCTCCTGAATCCTGAAGACTACAACTGCCGACTGCCTGCCTGGGAAGTGCCTGGGAAGTCCTATGTACTACCTTGGCCTGCCTCCTGACTGCTTAGGGGCGAGCCATGCCGAGGAGGCAGCTCTTGCCAATGCCGACGTGTGTCAGGGGCTGGTGTGCAGCAGCCTATTGAGGCTGGCGTGGGGAACAGGCTAATAATAGCCTCTTCGGAAACCCTGGTTCGCTGCCTGAGTTTCAGGGCCGGTCGTTCTGATGAACGACCGAAAATGGCCCTTTGTTTCAGGCTAAAAAGACTGATGTCGTTTTTAGTCTGAAACGACATAGTGGATGTGGCCCTGGAATTCATGCTTACGGCCTGATCCGACATGAGGCCTGTAAGCCCTGGATTTCAGGCTTTCGGCCTGAAGGACGTCGGGCCTGCAAAATGGCCCGCGTGTGCACATGAAGCATGTAACACCCCCCCCTCCTTATGAAGTCAAGCTGGGGCGAGGGCGAAGCCGACGATCTGAAGTTGGAACCTGGACGCGGGCGAGGCGTGGAGCCGAAGAAACCGGCTTGCCTTGCATCTTGCGTTCGTAGCGTGCGAAAACATCTGGAGCTGTTGCCTGAAGTTCCGCACGGGTTAACCAACAGTCAGCTCGGTGTGTGCAGCATGCAAAATGCACCAAATACTCAGTTGGCTTATTGCCGTAGCGTCGCTGGGAGATGATGTCGCCGACCTCCTGAAAATCGTCCATAGAAGGCGGGTGTTGCGTACGTCTCCTGGGAAAATCGTCATGTTCCACTGGCATGTAGAGAGGCAATTTGGAGCAATGAAAGCTTGGGTAGACGGGCAAGTGGCCAGGCAGCTGAATCGTGAAGGATGGTCCTTCGGGTGCGTTCCCAGCGGGTGCTACTATCGGCCAAGGTCCCATCCATTTTGGAAGGAGCTTGCGAGAGATGTCTTGTTCAAGGCTGAATTCCACTTCGGAAACCCAGACGAGGTCCCCGACGCGGAATGGACAAGGAAGACGCTGGCGATTGGCCTGCTGGCTCATGCGCTGCTGCGTCTTAGTCATCTGGTCGCGTGCCTTGACAAGAAGCTCTTGCATCCGACGCAAGAAAAGAAGATGGTCGTCGCTCTCAGCCGTGCGTGGAGTAATAGTGTCCAACGGTGATGTGACCGGCGAGCCGTGCTCGAACTCGAAGGGTGATATCCCAATAGCCGGGTGGATGGAAGAGTTGTAGGCCAACTCGACGTCCGGCAGTCGCTCAACCCAGTCTTTCTGGTCGGGGCGGATGAGAGTGAGAAGGCGAACCTGTGCGGTCTGATGCGCCCTCTCCGTCTGGCCATCGGTCTTAGGGTGGCGAGCTGAACAGGGCTTGAGAGATGAGCCCCATCACTTGATGAGCGCCAACCAAAAATCTAACATGAACCGAGTGTCGTGGTCGCAGACAATCTCCTTGGGGTAACCCTTGGTTCGAATCCAACCGGCGTAAAGAACCTCGGCCAACTCCGGTGCCTTGGCATGATAGCCACAAGGCAAAAACATGGCGAACTTGTTGAGTCGGTCGACCACCGTGAGAATCCCATCCACTCTGGTCTTGTGCTTGGGGAACGGGCCAGTAATGTCCATGGCGATCACTTCCCTTCGCCTCAACGAGACTGGCAATGGTCGTAACTTGTCGTACGGACGATGGTTGCGGGATTTGCAGCGTCGGCAAACCTCGCATGACTCGCAATAGTGCGTGACGTCGCCGAAAAGACCGGGCCACCAAAATCGTTGGCGAAGTCGGCCAATCGTGCGATTGACTCCAAAGTGTCCGGTGGCACGAGCATCGTGGAACTCGCCAAGAAGCCGTGTACGCAAGTGAGGATCACTTGGTACGCAAAGAAGGTCCTTCCCCCGCGTGTGGACAAGCAAGTACCCCTCTTGGATCCGGAAGTGAGAAGGAGTCGGATTAGGAGAGGAGCGATTCGCGTACTTGTCGCGAAACTCGGGGTTGGCTTGGTAGCCGCGGATGAAGCTGTTCCGCAGGTCGTCGTCGATCTCGAAGGTTGAGTAGACCACGGTACAATGATCCGGACGCCGTGAAAGAGCATCTGCAAAACGGTTCGACTTCTCGAGAATGTGATCGGGAAAGAAGTCGAACTGGTCGATGAAAGCCATCCATCGAGCGATGGTGCTGTTGACGGTGTCCTGGGTCTTGTAGAAGACCAACGGATTGTTGTCCGTTACCCAATGAAATTGGCTTCGACCAAGAAGGAAGTGCCGCCACCGCTTGAGCGCGTGGACGAAGGCGAGGAGCTCCTTCTTGCGTGCATCGTCAATGGAATGCACGATGGGCACTTTCTTGCTGAAGTATTCGACCGGGTGCTTGTCCACACCATCATGTTGCTCGAGGACTGCACCAACGCCATACCCTGACGCATCAGTAGTGACGCGTGTAGGCGAGAGCGGGTCGTATTTTTGCAAGACCTCCGCAGACTATAGCGCGGCTTTGAGAGCAAAGAATGATCCCCGCGCCTCCTCTCCGAAGTCAAACGGCCGATCCTCGCATTGAAGCTTGTTCAAGTGGGCCGCGATCTTGGAGTAGCCTCTAATGAAGCGCTGATAGAAGCCGGTAAGATTGAGGAACGAGCGGACATCCGTGACGTTCCAAGGCTCCGGTCACTCCTGGACGGCCTGAATCTTGTCCGATAGCGGACTGATGCCCTCCGGTGTGACAAAATGGCCCAGGTATTCCAGCTCCTGCCGGACAAATTCACACTTGTCGCAGTTAGTCTTGTACTTTGCGCGGCGGAGCATCTCCAACACTCGTCGAAGATGCCCAAGATGATCCTCCAATGACCGGCTATAGACGAGAATATCGTCTAAGTAGACCAGCACGAACCGGTCCAACATTGCACGAAATTCATTGGTCATTGCTGCCTAGAACGTTGCCGGGGTGTTGGTGAGGCCAAAAGGCATGACCACCCACTCAAAATGCCCGTACCGCGTCTTGAACACGGTTTTGTAGCGATCGTTCGGCTGGATCGAGATTTGATGATATCCCGATTTCAAATCCAGCTTAGAAAAATATTTTGCGCCGCCCAATTGCTCAAGAAGATCGTCGATGTGAGGAAGAGGCCCCGCATTCTTGACGGTTTGCTCGTTGAGCTTGCGGTAGTCGATACACAATCGTAGATCCTTGTTCTTCTTCCTGACGAAGAGAACTGGTGCTCCATATGGGGAACTGCTAGGGCGGATCCAACCCTTAGCCAGCAAATCATCGAGTTGTGCGCGGAGGACCTCAAGTTCCTCCTTGCTCATCCGATAGATGCAACCTTTCGGCGGCACGGCACCGACCTCAAGAATGATCTCGTGAGAGATCGGCCGATCCGGCACCACACCAGTAGGCGGCGAACTCGTCCAGCAACCGCACCACACGGGGGTCCGAAGACAAGTCCATGGGTGAAGAGTCGGCTACCGCGACGGTCCGTAGGAAACATAGGCCGATCTCCTCGGGCTGCTCATAAGCGCAAGTCGCCCGGAATGATTTGGCCGTCACCACTTGGCAGCGGATCGAAGTGTGCGGTAGAGGAATAGTACATGCCACTTCCGCGCCGAAGGCGTCACGAACGCTAAGAGTCCGCCGATGGAAGTTGACCGTGTAATCCGCACTTGCAAGCCAAGGCATTCCCAGAATGATGTCGAAGTCCGTGTCRAGAATATCGAATGTCACCGRTTCGCATGCATGAGGTGCGAAGTAGACCGGTACGGCCTCGATGTAACGATCGAGAAGTTGTTGCGTCTTTCCATCCGCCAACTTGATCGCCGTCGGGTTTGCCTTCCTCCGAACTTGTGTGCCAAGGTCAGCCCTTTGCATAAAGGATTGGCTCATGAAATTGCGAGACACGCCGCTATCCAGCAAAACGCTGCAGGACGCTTGCCCAACCTGAATGCGGACGTACATGAGCGGTGCGTTGTTGTCATCGTACCGCTGCGTGCGAAACTCGTGGGCCACCTTGGTAGTATATGCTAGGATGTCCCCCACCGCAACTTCGTCATCCGTCGGCGAAGTTGGTGGTGCATAGAAGGATAAGTAAGTGTGGAGATGTACGCTAAGTGCTGCGCATTGCGGTCCCGGCAAGCAGCCTGTGGTCGGGAGAGGAAGCCATGCAAAGTCCTCGGACGTGAGCGGGTCCAATACCTCTATGTTGAACTCGCGCGTCGAATCCTGTGACGAACCACTTGAAGACGATATGTCGCCGTTGCCGGACGGAGAAGAAACCGTACACACTCCTTGTCCTTGAGCTCGAGTACCCAGCGTAGGAACGAGCCGGGCAGCATAGTCCTCAAAAGAAAGAAGAAGAGGAGGACTATCGACTTCCGCGTGCGCCTCGGAATGAAGGCCGGCTACTCACGAAGAAATCGGTTCCAAAGGCGTCGAGAGTGTCGTCGAGTCACTCTCGACGGTGCTTAGTTTCCTTGTTTTCCCTCGCCTTTCAATTGGCAGACCTGCGTCTGATGGAGATCGTTGTTGCACCAAAGGCAATAATRKAATCTCTCGCGTGCTTTGAATGCTTGCTCGGAGATGCCATATTGGGACCATGGGCCTGCCTGAGGTGCTGCACCGGGCCCGGGGCTAGATGCGGTGTGTGTCTTCGTCTTGCCGCGTCCTCGGCCTCTGCCGGGGCGGCCACCTTCCCGGGCGACTGCGAGTCTGTCCCCTTCACTTGCAGACACAGCCTCGCTGGATTGGTCAAACGACGTTGCCGCTGCGACCACGACCACTCTTGGTCGATGCTGGTCCCTGCTCGGACCTAACGAAGATGAACGGAGGTTCTTGGCCTCCTTGTTCGTGATGATGATCTGCGCGGCCTTGTCAAACAATTCCGCCGTCGTCGTCAAGGTGTCCTCAACATGCGTCAGGGCATTGCTTAATGTCGGACATGACCTTGAGATGAAGTAGTGGCGGATGGCCTTGAAGCCCATCTGGATGTCTGGGACTGACGTCAAGCGTTGGTACTCGGCAATCCAGTCCGTACTCGGCAGCGTGCCTTGCTCGAAGACCATGAGCTTGTCCATGACTTTGATCTCCGGTGGCTCCACCTAGAACCGCTTGTGCCACACCGCCTTCAGATCATCCCAACTGATCTTGGTGTGCAAGTCGTTGGCTACCACTCCGTACTTGGACAACAGGTTGTCCAACCAAGCCTTCAAGTATGCGTGGTGCTTGTGTTCCTTGACGTTGTGGAGCTGCAGCGTGAGCTCGAACTTGTGAAACATGGAACCGGATCCGTCTTCATTGAGTTGCAGAAGATCTCTTGCCCATCGAACTTTGGAGCTGTCTCGCCCGGTTCCGAACTCGAGATGTTGGCGGTAGTGCAGATCCGTTGTTGCAACTGTTGCGTCGCGGTCGGCTGTAATTGCACGCCATCCTTGAGTGAACCAACGTCCATCTCCAATGCGTTGAGGCAGTCGGAAGTGTTGGAAGAGCTTGTGTCGGTGGCGGCGACTGGTCGCTGCTCCAACCGCTGAAGGCGGTCTTGGACGCGAGCTAGCGAGTTGTCGAGACCGTGGATCTCCTCCTGCTGTGTAATGCAGGTTGCCAGGAGGTCAGTGAGATGCGAGAGGAGGAGCGCTATCTTGTTTGCGCCATCCTCCAACTGGCTATTCTCGGCCTCGCTCCACCATTCCACTGCCATTGTAAGTAACGCCTGCTCTCCGGTAAAGATCTTCTCACGACATTGGTGTCTCTCTTCATCGGCAGCCCTTGCTGCTGCCTCGTCATGCTCGCGCTGTTGTTCAATCGCCAGCAGACGTGCCTGCTCGGCATCCTCTGCCTTCTTTTTCGCTGCTGCAGCTGCGTCATCTGCCCGTTTCTTTGTCTCGGAACTCCAACCCAGCATCCTGACCTGAAAGGCCTCGTCTACTTCACCGGGCCTCTGATCCATGACGGCTGTCTGTGACCGCAACAGCATGTACTAGGCCGGGGGCCTGCTGACGTGGCAACTCACCAATGTCGTCGCAGGGGGTACCTGGAGTCAAGTAGAGAAGGTAAGGTGAGGGATGGCAACAGCATAGGTGGGGAGGGGTGGATGGGATAATCGCCCAACTAATCACTTAGATAAGGAGCCACTAATCAAACAAGAAAAGTTTGAACTTTGCAAAAAAAAATCAAGAAAAATAAAAATCCCGATTTTTTGCAAGTTCGGTAGGTCTCCCCACCTCCCTTGAAGTGCGAAATGATCACTGAAAGAGAAAAAAATTCGACTTTGGACTGCCAATGATTTGTAGAACAGAACGACAGAATCCCAGAACTGCGAAAAAATTCCGAACAGAAATGACAAGTATTCGGATTTATTCTGATGAGAATATTGAATTTCACAGTTTGAAGAATAATACCGCAGGAGGGATTTCCCGTACCGTCTTCAGAAAGACGAATTCCAGAAAAGAAAATATTCCGAATTTCTAAGTAACGGGAAATACAACAGGAAATCGAAATTTTCGAAAAGAAAAATATTCCGCATTTTCAACAGCGAAATTTCGAATTTTCAGAAGAAAAACGAAAATGGGAATTTCAGATGTTGCGATATTGCGATTTTCCACAACAGAACAGCGAGAAAATAAAATCCAAGAAAAGAAAAAAAATTCGATTTTTGGTAGTGAGGTCAAAATCGTAATTTTGGGGTCTAACTATTGTGTTCTAATCAATCTATAAAGACTAACCAGCTAATTAGTCCCCGCACACGTGTCAGATCAGGTTGTCCTGATTCACGTGCAAAGCTCCGATACCAACTGTTACATGCACAAATATGCAATGTACGTAATAACCGAGGATCTGCAATATGATGAAAAGGACTGAATGGACAATGCGGTGCGAATAGAATCTCGACAAGCAATGTGCATTCTCATACATACATAATGGTGCTGAATAGCGCAGGGAAGACTTAGATACAAAGGCTGACCTGACCGGGACTGACCTCATCCACGTAGTACAAAGTAGCGAAGCAGAATGCTAGAATGCTGATAACTAGTCCAATCAATGTTTGAACTCAGA